TTTCCCTACCGGTAACTTTCCTTCTTACAACACTAAAAATTATATTTAGTATCAAAATAAATTTAAACAAAATATAAAAAAAGATTATTTTTTAAAAAGGGAAAAAAAAAAAGCAGCAGAACTAGCCGTTAGGTTTTTAAAAGTTTCTCTTTACCACCTACCTAATCTCCCAAAATATATATACACACAAATATATAGCAAAGATACTATAGAATTTTGACAGATTTGTTGTTCAAAACACAAAGATTCAAAATATCTATCTTTGTGAGTCGAAGGTTTTCATAGGATTATTAGGTATTGATATGTCTGAAAAGGATAGTTATGAGCTCAAGTAGTAACAGTCGATGTGCAGCTTGCAAGCAACTGAGAAGGAGGTGTCCCTCAGATCGCATATTGTTGCCATATTTTCCTCCCACTGATCCTCAAAGATTTTCTTATGTTTAGAGAATCTTTGGTGCTAGCAACGTTGCCAAGATGCTCCAGGTATGTGTGTGTGTGATCAAAAACCTTATAAAATTTCAACAAAAAGTCTCATTCTCTTGTTTTTTATTTTTTGGGGTGACGAGGGAGACCCGCAGGCACTACCCGAGGGTGTGTGCTGGATAAACCCCGTGTCGACAAAAGACCTTATAGCTGACCAGCTTAAACCAAAAAGGTCGTATCCGAACTCATGACCTTGTGATTACATGTTTGTATCCTTCTTAACCACTATATATATATATATATATATATATATATATATATATATATATATATATATATATATAGACACACACACACACGGGGGTGTATAGTCGATTTTAGAAAATTGTTAATTTGCATAAGGAGTTGTTAATTTGTTGTTGTTATGAATAAAAACATGCAGAAAGTGGAAGAGCATCAGCGAGGTGATGTTGCAGAATCCTTGTACTACGAGGCGCATTGTCGGATTCAAGATCCGATTTATGGTTGCGTTGGAATAATCACTATTTTACATGAACAAATTTATGATTTTCAATGCCAATTGGCCAAGGTTGAAGCTGAGATTCAAGCTGTGAAAGCACTACAACTAGGTCACTTGCAACCTCAATTCCCACGAAATTTTTAATAAGTCTACTCACGTGAAAAATGTTTTAATACGATGAGATCAGAGTAGAGCAAGTAAAAAATTAATGGCGAAGTTTATTTCACATAAGTTATAATTAATGTCATTGCTTCAATTAATAAAGGTCTTCTTTCATTAAATTTACGTTTATGAAATTATTAATATTTGGATGAACCTTTTTTCTGCTTTCATTTTCTATTTCTTTCATAAACAAAAATCTTAGAATTCTACAAATTCCACATTTAGTATGTACGTTCTTTTGTTTGTTTTTCCAGATCTAGTCACTAATATGAACTCTTAAATTTGTTTTACTGATTTATGTTGGTGCTCTGATTGTTTGTTACTTAATTTCTTTATGCCACTTCTGAGAAATGAAATTACTTATCAATTTTGTTGACATTGAAATTTTGATAAATATTGATTATTTTTTAATATTAGTATATTTGAATATATTTTGAATAGGCTAAAGTGTCATATTGCACCATAAACTTCTGATTATTCACGTACCTAATCTTTCAAAACGTATATTTAAATCCATAAACCATTAATTTTTTTTTTTTTTTTTTTGCCTTTGAACTTTTTTATAGGTTTCATTTAGGTTTTCGGTACATGGAATTTTTTATTTTTTTTTGTAATTATTTTTGGTATTTTTCCGCCGCTGAAGCCATCAAGTTCATCTCGGAATTCCTAGCTCGCCCCCTCCGAATATCTGTTTCTCCATTACCATCTCCAACATTGATGCCCTGAACTCTGCGCACGGGTCTCTCGACAGCTTCACCACCGCCATGCTGTCCTTCATCTTTTTAATGTTTATGTTTTTCTGGTTGTCCCCTGAAACGCCATGATAGGATTCTCCCTCTCAGAAGCATGCATAATAATATATTCTATGTTAATGGGAATGGGTATGTATGGGTTGGGATCAGAGCCAGAGAGCTCCGCCGTCTTTAAGGAAAAGGACAAGAGTGCCGTTGATATGACAACCCATGACGGTCTCGATCCCGCCCAGGAATTTGCCGCCTATGAAGACGGCGGGGACGGGCTGGTGCGGAGGACCCGACGAGCTTGAGGAGGAGGGCATAGATTTGGTGGCTGTCGGCGTTGCGGTCGTGCTCCACGATGGTGGGGCCCACACCGAGGCCGAGGAGGAGCTGCTTCACGACGTGGCACATGCAGTCGCCGCCGCTAGGGTGAAGATCACTGAAAAAATGACTGAAATGTGTAAGTAAACACATGTATTTCTGAAAATATGGCGCTGCTGGGGATAGGACGAAAATATGAAAAACACCTTTGGGAAATGCGTTTATCACATTTCCGGTCAAACATGAAACGCAAGTGGGAGCGTTTCTCTTCTCTCTTTTTTTTTTTTTTTTTTTTTTCTTGTCTTCCCCGGTGACTAGCAACAAGCCCAGGAAGAGGATGAAGATGGAGATAAAATTCAGGGCAGTCCCAACCGTGGAAATAACAATATTGCACAAACGTCACCCCCTAATAGTAGCAGTTCTCCCCCACGTACCCCACCACCCGCTGCGGGCTGCCACTGCCACAATCACAGCAGCCTCAATTACGCCTACAACGACAACACCCACAAGCAAAAGATCCGAATTAAATGACCATGAAAGCGACCCTTCACTCCTCACAATCAATACCCAGCTTCTCCCAAACCCAATCCAAATCCTCCGCCGCCACCGCGGCTATGTCCGCCACCGCCGCGCTTCCGATCGCGCAGTCTTTCCCAGCCGTTCTCAGCTCCCGTTTTGGCGCCCCTTCTGACATTGGTTGCCTTCTCCTTCGCCAGAGAAAAAAAAAAAAAAAAAAAGAGAGAAACGCAAAGTGGGATTTGCCTTTGGAGGAACGCAAGTCCCAGTTGCATTTCATGTTTGATCAGAAACGTGATAAAACTCATTTTCTAAATGTGTTTTTCATATTTTCGTCCACTCCCCAACAACGTCATATTTTAAGAAATGCATGTGCCTACTTACGCATTTCATTTTTCCGAAGATCACCACTACGTTGCCGGAAGCCAAGAACTGGACCCTCCGTTACATTTCAGGCAGCTGTAGTCAAAGAAAGCTATATATATGACTTGCAATTTTCTTTTTAGAATGACCAAGCCATTTGCAGCTACCTTAAGGTAATTCTCTTATTCTCTTCCTTTTTAAGACTTAGATAATTCATTTGATCTGTACATTATGAAAATGAATAAATCTATGGTAGCAGTATATCTGTATATGTAGCTGACTTGGATCCTTGTTTTGTCTGTGATCCTTTTAGAGGGGAATTCAACCTGACCCGTAATATTTTAGACAAAGAGATAGTGAGATACCACGAATGTAAAAGAAATTGATATAGACATTTGAATAAACAGAGCTTTATCATACATAGAATCATGTCATTTGCTGAGAACAGGCTTGTTATTTTACTACCTGCTGATAACCTCTCAACCTTATGCTGAGTTCCTCTCAGCCAAATCTGATTGGTTTTTTGTACTCATGGGTCGTACAACCCTGGATACGGAAAAGAGATTGAGAAAATAATAGAACAATGGTCACATACGTGAAGTCTAAGGAACATGGAATTTGGTGACTATTTTTTATGAAAAATTTGAATTAGCTTAAAATATTATTAAATTAGTATTTTCAATTCTCATTATGTTTATTTTATAGTTCCCATACATTTTTTAATATTTACAACTCTTCAGTTTTTCTTAATTGTCAGGCTTTTGTATTGAGAAGTCAAGTTTTGAATATAATTAAAAGTGTTTGAGTTTGAGTTATATTGTTTGTGTTCTCCTGTTCTCCTTGTCCTACATCAACCCTCACAACTGTGAAGTCAATTGTGCAACATCAATCCTCCACTATTTTCATTGCCCATACATGTGCGCCCTTTTTTCTGGCATTACTGATAACTGTGGCTTGTTATTTCTTTTCCATTCCTGCATTTTTTTAGTCGAATCACACTATACAAGTCATGTTGTGTGGCGTTAAATTATGCAGTCAATGCAAGTTAAAAACTATATTCTTCTCAACAAATTGTGTATGCCATGATATTACACTGGTTTAAACTTGGAAGGCAGTCTTGACTTCTTGAAATATTGTCTTTATATCAGAATATTTTTCCTATACCACACATCCCCATGGATTGATAAATGATTTAGATGGGAGCCGTTACAATTTGGATTGTAGACTAAAGAATGCCGCGCTGAAGAAGCAGACAAGATGAATGAAAAATAGGGTTAGCAAATTAGCATCGGAATAAACTGTTTTTCATTTTATTATATAAAAATACGCCATGCATTTTGTGTGATAGTATAAGGTGCATTATTTGTATGCATAAAACACATTATTTCTATGAATGTGTTTTAATGCATGATTCACACAGCTATATGGACCATGATTATATTCACGGTAAAAATTTATTAATAAAACTTCACTAGTTACTTTTGTACGAAAATCAGGAAGAATGACCAGGGATCCAGTCTCACCAGCGGTAGTGTGGGAACAACCTCTCAAAGTGAGGGGGCTCCTTGTGCACAGTAAGTAAATATCTAACCTATGTGATTCATGTTCAGTTGAGTTACCATAATTTACATCCTCTCATATACTCTGTCGGGTCGGAGTATGTGGGTCTTAGAGTTAGGATTCAACCTTTTGGAAAGAAAACTAAATTTACATAAATGCACAATTAGATTTTTTTTGTAAAGAAGAAAACTCACAGTCAGTATCCGGAGAGTTTGTACGGAGTAAGCCTTGCTACAAGGCTACATACAAATGATCCGCCATTATTTAATATATATAATGTATACACACATTTAGATTTATACTCCCTATTACACATAAATTATTCATGATGAAACAAGTAATAATTAACAATATAAAAGTAAAGTTGACATTTCCATCCGACCACGACCACGTACTTGTCAATAATGCAACACGACAACATGGTACTCCACGATCGCGTTACGGGCCGTTGAATTCGCCCAATAAGTCTTGGCGGTGGCGACGCCCTGCGCCAACCGGAAAACGCCGGAGCCACCGACGATGGGCATTTCACGGTACCGATGGAGGATGGGGTTACGGCTGAGGAGGCTCAGGGTGCTGCCGTTATACTTCCCGGCCGTAAACACAAAGTTGAACGTCATGAGAACCCCGATCTCGCTGAACGAGGCGGAGCCGTACATTCCCTGAGCTCGGCCGACGATCTGAGAGCCCGGGTCGGGTCCGGCCGTCAGGGGGTCGTCGGCCATGGCGAGGAAGCCGAAGAGAGTGGGCGAGTCAGCGGTGGTGTTGGCGCCGGCGATTTGGAGTGCGGTGGGGTTCTTGCCGGTGCCGGTGTCGTGGAAGAAAAAATGGCGAGGATAGAAGCAATATAATTCACTGCTAAAAATTATGAAATTTAGGACGATCTTATATTAAGTCAACAAAGATTTTTCTGAATATCAAAAGTAATTGGAACAAGCTTTCAACTTGATTTAAAGTGGTCGGAAATTACATAATTTACAAGTGATTATCAATCCCATAATAAAAAATGGTGATTGTGGCCTCGGAGTGGCGAACTTATAATAATTAATAAGGTGTTTGCCAATTAGTATAGTCCCAAGAAACTAGAAATAAAATACTTTTTATATTTTATGAGTTGACAAATGATATGCCAAGATAGTTGTTAGTTAATGAATTTTTTTGTTCTAGTACGTTGGTGTAGTATAATTTGTTAGGATCAAGGTTCCAAGATTTTAACATATCTGGTATGCGAACCGTATCGCTTATACATTAGTTCGAGAGGTACGTTCTATGTCAGACAGTATAGAGTGAAATGTTGATGTCCTTTAATTTTATTCATCATGTTTTGGCTATGAATTGTTATGAATGAAGTTACGTTATTTCGAGGTTTGCTTTCAAAAACATAGGTGATATGTTATAATACCAATTGTTAGAATTTAATTAACGTTTATCACTATATATTAAAGGTTATAGTCGGTAGTGAAAATATAACTTTATTTTCTTATTAATTAGCATCACATTTTAATTATAAAATGCTAGACTCGTTTTTCCAAACATTCACCCAAGTGTCCAACATATCTATATTTTGATCAACATAAATTGAGTACAAATTAAAATTAAGCAAAGAATTGAACATGGTGTTTTGGGGTGGGGGTGGGGGTGGGGGTGGGGGTGAGGGTGGGTGAGAAGGGCAGCGGTGTTATGGAGGTAAATTATATTGTGGGTCATAGTTCATCTTTTAAGGTGGATCACTATCAGTGTACTAGAGGTTTATTATTTGATAGTATATCAAATAATAAATTTTTGAGTAAATACCCAAAATGGTCCCTCGACTATAGCTAAATTCATAAATTAGTCATTGACTTTCAATTTCAACCAATTAAGTCCTTAACTTTGCAATTTTAACACAATTTGGTCCTCCGTCTATTTGACAGTTTGTTGACCGTGATTTTTGAGGATATATATGTAATTTTACGATTCTGCATCATTCGCCACGATTTTGAATTATCTTCGGCGGCTGCGCCGTCATCGACGATCTCCAGAAGAACCTGCAGCTCTCGTCGGAGCACATGGAGGCCTCCAGGATGACGTTGCACCGTTTCGGAAACACGTCGTCTTCTTCGCTCTGGTACGAACTCAACTAGTGCAGTCTGAAAATGCAACCGAAACCTTAAAAAACCGACAATGGACCATGGAATTACATATATATCCTCAAAAATCACAGTCAACAAACGGTCAAATAGATGGAGGATCAAATCGTGTTAAAATTGCAAAGTTAAGGACTTAATTGGTTACGTTGAAATTGAAAATCGAGGACCAATTTGTGAATTTAACTATAGTCGAGGGACCATTTTAAGGTATTTACTCTAAATTTTTAGTATTTAAATAATGTACTATAAATCTTTTGTATATACAATCAATATATTAATAATATATTTTATGTTAATAATTCCCTTTACAGGATGAATCATGGTTCCTCATATAATGATTGGATTATGGAAGTAATATAATTATCCCAAAAAAAAAAAAAAACAAATAATAAAAATGGTCATTGTGGCCTCGGAATGGCGAACTTATAATAATTAATAAGGTGTTTGCCAATTAGTTTAATCGCAAGAAACATGAAATAAAATCCTTTTTATATTTTATGAGTTGACAAATGATATATGCAAGATAATTGTTAATGAATATTTAATTTAATTTGTTGTTCCAGTTAGTCGGTGTAGAATATATAACTTGTTAGATCAAAATTTCAAGATTTGAATTGCATGCTCTAATATGGATGGTTAATTAGAATCAAACATTAAGTTTATTACTATATTAAAAGTTTTATATATAAAATGATATGCAAGATAGTTGTTAATGAATATTTAATTTGTTGTTCCAGTTAGTCGGTGTAGTATATATAACTTGTTAGATCAAAATTTCAAGACTTGAATTGCATGCTCTAATATGGATGGTTAATTAGAATCAAATGTTAAGTTTATCACTATATTAAATGTTTTATATACAAAATGATATGCAAGATAGTTGTTAATGAATATTTAATTTGTTGTTCCAGTTAGTCGGTGTAGTATATATAACTTGTTAGACCAAAATTTCAAGATTTGAATTGCATGCTCTAATATGGATGGTTAATTAGAATCAAACATTAAGTTTATCACTATATATACACATACATATATATATATATATATATATATATATATATATATATATATATATATATATATATAAGGGTAGGGTTCCAGTGAGAATATGTGCTTAGGTGAGAACATGAGAACACATCATTTGCATTCATCTAATATTTTTTAATGGTATAGATTAGATTAAGTGTGTGCGAACGCACATTAAATGTGTGCAAACGCACTTAATCGCGTTTGTACACATTTAATGCGCGTTCGCACACACTTAATCTAATCTAGACCATTAAAAAATATTAGATGGATGCACACGATTTGTTCTCACGTTCTCACCTAAGTAGGTGTTCTCATATGATCTTAAATCTATCTTAAATCTATATATATATATATATATATATATATATATATATATATATATATATATTACGTTACGTTTTCTTAAGTTATGAATTGTTTTCTTTTGGACTACTTGATATTTTTCACTTTGATATTATATAGTTATTATATTGTTTGTTTGGTTATTGTTCGTGAACATAGACTATTTTTTGTTCATGAATGAATTATAATCATGAATATATGTGCATGTATTTTTTATTTAGCGTTCATGAATGTGTTCGCAAATGTTAACGAACATGTTTGTGAATATATTTGTTAACGTTCACGGACATTAAAGAATACTAATAAACGCTTAACAAACGAACATTAATAGGATTTTCAAAAACCTTTACAAACAAACACGAACACAAATACAAACACAAACACATTTCGGTTCGTTAATAGCCTACTAAACAAATTAAAATTGACATGAAACACAAATCAAACAAGTCTAATTTCCGTACCCGCAAGGACAATAAAATAGCACAAATACTTGTTTAAATCGATGAATAAGCAATTGAGGGACTACATGAACAGTTCGCTAATAATTGAGGGACCAAATCGTTAATTAACTCTTTTAATATACGAAGAAATCAAATATATATATATATATATATATATATATATATATATATATATATATATATATATATATACACACACACACACTCAATTTCTCGTGTTTTCCCTCAATCGCCGTTACTTTGCATAGTAAATAATTAAAATACTACTATTAATAATATAAATCATTAAATTGTAACTTCTTGGCAGTCATTCAAAGTTAAAATCTTATTTCATGGGGTTTTCTATAATGCCTAGACTTCTTCTATAGTTGTATCACATTGTATTTAAAATGGAGAAAGGGAGATATTAAAAGAATAGCGAAAATAAAGTAAATTAAAATTATAAAGAATCTCTAGATGGTAAGTTTAAACCCTAACCGTAACTTTCCTTCTTACAACACCAAAAATTATATTTAGTATTAAAATAAATTTAACAAAATATTTTTTAAAAAATATTTTTAAAAAGGGAAAAGAAAAAAAAAAACACAACTAGCCGTTATTTTTAAAAAAATTTTCTTACTACCTACATATACTCTCCCAAAATATATAAACACACAAATATATTAGCATAGATACTATAGAATTTTGAAAGATTTGTTCTTCACAACACAAAGATTCAAAGAATCATATCTTTGTGAGTCAAAGATTTTCATAGGATTATGTATTGATTTATTTGAAAAGGATAGTTATGAGCTCAAGTAGTAACAACCGATGTGCTGCTTGCAAGCAACTGAGAAGGAGGTGTCCCTCAGATTGCATATTTTTGCCATATTTTCCTCCCATTGATCCTCAAAGATTTTCTTCCGTTCATAGAATCTTTGGTGCTAGCAACGTTGCCAAGATGCTACAGGTATATCTAATTTTTTTGTTTTTTATTTTGACCGAGCTCACAATCTTGCCCTCAGTCATGGTTGAGCTCAATGCTGGCATGAAAATCTCTCGGATCTTCGATTCCACCACGGGTACGGGTACGGGTCAGAGGAGGGGCACCTTGGCGGCAACAAAAATTCACGGAAAAGAACACACATAAGTAAACCCGAAAAAAGTTCATAAACCAATTACTCATTATTGAATAGCATAAAGAACACAAAAAAACACAAATATAAACATAAATTTTACAAAAGAAAGATATAAATGAAATGATAACTTATCTATTGAAAAAGAGAATAATGAAATTCAAGTTTCAAATTCAAGATTACAAGATTCTAAAATATCAAAGAACTTAAATCTAAGCTTTATTTTAATAATTTTAAATAAAATAATTATTTTGAAACTTAAAAAAAAAAAAAAAAAGCTTGTCTTCGTCTCCACCCAGTTTTTTTCAAAATAATTATTTTATTTAAAATTATTAAAATAAAATTTAAAAATTATTTTTAAATATATATAGTAACCAACACGTTAGCATATTAATATGTAAATAAGTCATTTAGTTTAAATTGCATGAATTTGCATTGTTCAATGACTCAATTGTAGTTTTTTTGAGTTCAGCGACCTAATTGCAATTTGACGTGTAGTTAGATGGTCTACTTGAACCTTATTCCTTATTATTGTTATTACATATATTTTTTTGTGTTGTAATAAGCCTATTAGCTCAAACATATTGACCAATGGAAATTTAGATAAAGAAGATAGAGAAGAGATGAGGAACACAATAAGCCAAGAGAC